GTGTGTGTGTGTGTATAGCAGTGCAGTTTGAGTTCACTGCCTGAACTAACTCACAGGTGTCGCTCCATTTTAAAAAGGGTAACATATTTTGAGTAAGAAAGACATTAGGCATTTGGACACCATTAACACTTGTCGTTTGTGTTTTGTTACCTAAGAATAGACCACATTTATTAAGCAAAGCATATTAATTAATAATTTGTACATGACAAATGTACTACTAGGCTCGTAATGGCCTGGTAGTTGTAGAATGCAGAATAAGGCATTAATAACTGACTTAAGATTTTCCTAGTCGGCTAGTAGTCGTTAAATAAAGCCAGTAGTTAAGTAGCTGCCAGTTTAATGCCAACAGAAAAAGCGGTAATGATTCTGAATGTGTCAGAACAACCTGCAAAGAGACTGAATTAGTTATTTATTTCAACACAGTATAACATCACACAGTCTTGTTATAAATAACTTCCAACTTCACTAAAACTAATACTGGTTGATTGGCACTGCTCCAGTTCTGCACCTAGTACAGTTAGTTAATAGTGAACATGTGTACCTTAATATAAAGTGTTACCATCAATTCTGCTTGATTTGAACTGTTACTTGTGGGCTGTGGCCAAATTAATGTTACAGTGAGAGGAAAACTGTAGTAAGTCAATTCACTCATGAAGAGTGTCTAATAAACAGACCTCCTACCTGTAATGAAGCTGAGACACTTCATCATGAACCTCATTCAATGATTCATCATCATTAAAAAAGGGATAAAAGTGGGGTTGAAGTGCTGTATTGTCAAGAAAAACTCCTTGAAAAAGATTTCATAAAAAGAGTGGGAACCCTGTAATACTTACACAACTATATACTGAGACATAATTGTCCCAATACATTCTCACACTCTTCTGTGAAGCATTAGTGACCCCTAGTGGGCGTCCAGACACATTTCACAGATGCTGAGGTTGTCATGCATGCCTCAGTGTGGACTACAGTATCCTGTGATACCGTGTATTCAGCACTGACCAGAAGCACAATGTGAGATGTCCTGCTGTGTCCCTGTGTGTGTCTTTGTTTAGGGATCGGGCCACAGCCGAGCAGTGTCTCAAACACCCCTGGCTCCAGCCCTCGGGGCCTCAGGAAACCCAGACGGTGGAGGAGATCCTCCCAGTAGAGGATCAGGAGGCATCCAGCTCCGCCAGCAGCTCCGCCAGCAGCCCTGAACCTCCCTGCAGTAAGACCATGGGTGAGGAGGAAGATGAGGAGGAGGAGGGGGAAGGCCCAGTGACAGAGGAGCTGATAGTCATGGCTGCCTACACCCTGGGCCAATGTCGCCAGTCCTCCGCCTCCACCTCAGAGAAGGAGGCGCTGGCTGCCGAGCAGAAGGCCATCTCCAAACGCTTCAAGTTTGAGGAGCCTTTCAGCGCCCTGCAGGAGGTCCCCGGAGAGTTCATCTACTGACCCCACCCACTACACGACAGGAAAAGTTAGTGTTGTCATGGTAACAAACATAGACCTTCTGATTATACAAGCTCCGCTCCATATATACTGTATGTGTATGATCAGATGCCGCTTCACATATATTATTTAAACAGTTGGATTTTAAGTGCAAGTACATATTTCTCCCATAATGCATCACCACGATTGACAGACACCCAACCTACCTTCCAAAGCAGTTACAGTAGGTTCACGTCTCTTGTGTTTCATTTGGTTTGCTGCTGTATTTTTATTTTCTCCCTGAACTGGACGAACATAGATGGAGTGACACACTGAGATATTTCCACAAGCTCCAGTAGAGTCTGGTGTTTGGTGACGCCATTTAAGCAACAGTCAAACAGGGAAACATCTGTAGAATAGGCCAATTGAAAGGGTGCTCAAAAAATGCACCATAGCAGGCTTGAAGGACCAGTGTGTGGGATTTAGTGACATCTAGCGGTCAAGTGTCAGATTGCAAGTAACTGAACACAGCTCAAGCTTATATTCAACAACCTGGGAATGAGACCAGGCTGTGAAGCATGTAGGAAAAACGATGGTGGCTGTGGAACTCGCAAAAGGGCCTGTCTACAGCCAGTGTTTGGTTTGTCCCTCCTGGGCTACTGTAGAAACAAGGTGGTTCAACATGACATGTCAACAGACTCCACGGAAGGCGACCTGCTGCGTCTGTAGATAAAAACATCTCATTCTACAGTAATGAAAACCAACAAATCTTATATTGAAGTGATTATACACTAATGAAGACATCCCTATGAATATTATCTTTAATTTCTGACAATTTACCTTCCTAAATGTTACACACTGGATGAAAAGAACTACAATTCCATATCAACTGAGCAAACAGCTGCTGAGGAAGATTTTGTACTAAGACTGAAAGCTCCAGAACAGCTAGTAACTGGACCTGTCCCAAAAAAAAAATCTTCAAATAAATATTTGTGCTATATATCTAAATTGTGTCTTACTTTTTTGACACATTATTAAAACTATTATTATTCCCTAGAATAACGTCTCTTGAAGTCTACTGCAGTGTATTTCTGCCATGCCAGAAAAAGAAAAACAGATCATGTTATAACATGAAACATGACATACTTAAGATATAGTATATTGTTATAATAGGGAAGGTGTTTGTTAATAACGTGATAAGCTTGACAGGAAAATAATTTGAACATGAAAGTATCTTGGTATAATGTCTAAACATCTTGTTATAACAATAAACTTTTTACACTATAAAATTGATGATCCAATTTTCTTTTTCTGGTGTGGCAGCAATAGGTTTCCATAGAGTCCACACCACACATCTATGGCAATTACTATAAATCAGTGGACCCCTGTCAGCCAATCAGAATGAAGAATTAAGTGGCTATAGTATCAGACACTTAACCGTCATGTTTTGATCATGGGGCAAAAGGCATTCTGGGAAACAAAGACATCAACGTAGAAACAGGTCGGGTTGTGGGAAAGTGAGAAACTAACTCCTGTCCCAGATACCAGATGATGGAGAGATCTACTTTGTTACGTGGCAGTCTCTCTACTGTATGTAAAGACTGTGTATATAGCACACACCCACACTTCCAGTCATCATATATGTGCATGTGTACTGATGAGTGAAGGGGTTGCAGTTGAGTCCACAGACTGTATATAAAGATGGATGACATGTCTCCACTTCCTCCCAACGCTTAAACAAACATCAGTGTGATAAGAGCTACCTAAAATGACAGAGACCATCTTGGGCAATGTCTAATATTTGATTTTTTGTCCCATCCTCTAACATTTAAGGGGCAGGGTTTATGACCTATAGTGCAACCAGCCACCAGGGGGCGATCCAGATATTTTGGCTTCGCTTTTGAGGAGCTGTCATGTCGTCCATCATACTATACAGCCAATGGTTGGGACTGTTTGTCGCACTTATTGCAAAACAGTGAGAAGTTACTCACTTTTCTTCCTTTTTTCAAGATTTTTGAATCAGAAGCCAAATGTTTGTTGGTCTCAGTCCATTTCCTCGTCCGTGCTGCTCTCCTCTGAACAGAACCAGCTCCTGCTCGCTCAACCCTGTTTGTGTTTTGTCTTATTTTGTATTTGGTGCCATGCTTGGAGAATTATTTGATTTTTTCTCTTATTTTTTATTTTTTATTTCTGTTAAATATTGCAGATATCTCCGAGGAAGTTTTCTAATTGTGTGTACATAATGCAAATTTGTGTTGTTTTTAAGAGGTATATTCCACAGTACTGTTTAAAGAGCCATTTCACATATTCCTGACTGACCTCCCTGTGGCTCACTTCTCTCTGAAGCAATAAAAACAGATGATTTTAAGCTGTACCTGTAGATGGCGAGCACTCCACAATTCCTGTGGGTCTGTACTGTAAATTTATGTTTATGAAACAATAAGCTCTGTCACTATGGGAACAGATTTGTACATTAATGTCCCGTACTGTAAATAAACATTTCAAAATTGAGTTTGGAGTAATCATTTGTGTTTGTGTGTGTTTTGGTACCCACATTGTCAACAAAATAATCACTGAGCTATTGATTGAGCCTGGTCAACAACACAATAAACCCCCTGCAGATAAACAGGGTCATTATTAGAACTATGCTGACACTATTGTTACTATTATTACAAGCTTGTATTTTTTTCAAACGTGGCTAACATGTTGCTATCAGGCTCAGCTGATTCAGTTCATTCTCATCCAGCTAACCTGGTTGTTATAAAGTTACCTTGAATAACTGTGCTCTTATTTTGAAACGTAAGGGAATCAAAGCATGACTCAGCAGTGTTTGACCACTGAACAGAAAGAGCGGGAGTTTTAAAAGCTTGCAGCCTGTCTGCTGTCTGTCTGTCTGCCTCGTTGTTTTTACTAACAATAAAAGTGTAAAAAGTTCAGAGGTTCAGAGGAGGTCAGAGGTTCGAGGTTAGCTAAAATAAGAAGAGAAAGAAAAGTAAGTCGGGAGAACTAAAGAGTAAGAGGAGAGGAATCATTTTCATGTATTCCCTCTCCTCACTGTCAACAGCTCAACCGTCCATGTTGGAATATTAGCCCCACTGCTAGCCAAGCAGTGGAAATGTTAGCATGTTTTTGGACAATTAATGTCGGTTACAATAGATGTGTCATTTTGTCTGGATTGGACTCACACTGACTGCTGCTGGATGGAAACATCATTGGTAAATTGTTTCATATTATTAAGCTGTTATAGATACTTATAGATAGATCTGTGAGATATGACAAAAAGTATACATACTGAGTCTGCAGGTACCCAGGTTGGTAGAATGAGGGCAATAGCATCAACAGGAGAATTAGGTCCACCGACCACTTTCCCTCTTAAAGGTCACATAACAGTCATAGTTCGAAACAGTGGGGAAAAAATATGCATTCAGTCACATTTAGAGAATTTAGAGAATTGAATTTGGATGTCGTTGTTCACATTATCCATGCATTGTCCAGAAAAATCTGACAATTCAATACTTTCTGTTTCAGAGATTTTCATTATTTCAGTCTTCGAACAAAACTAACCACAGCTTTGTAATAGTGAAATAACTATAATAATAATAATAGCAAACATCTAATTTCCAAATGTAGAGACAAAAAACTTCAAACCCTTTGGATACACCCTCAAACTGAAGGGGAATATTTCCAATATTTTTAATTTCGAGGTGTCATTTTGACCCATCAGTATATGTTGACAGCTTGACAGTGTTTTTCATGGCAGGAAACCAGAAACAGACCACGGATTCACGCAGAACGCTCACGAGGGACTGACCGAAGAACAGAAAATAAAGAAAAAGAGTGGCCGTGTAAGAGGCAGGAGGAGTAGAAACACAGCGCTCTTCTCCAGAGATCCTCTATCTTCCTCTTCCAGGCCCATTAGCGGCTGATCAGAGCTGAGGTTGTAATTAAAGATGACCAGGTGCTGCCAATGCTAAAGTACACCTGAGCCCTGGAGAGAGAGAGGGAGGATGAAGGGATGGCTGGATACGAGACGCACACTGACAGAAGATGAAGACAGACAGAAGCAGGGGGGTCAGATTCTGAAAATTTGAATAACGCTACACATGACGGTGAAACCTCCTCAACAAGCACAAAAGTCACTCTTGATAATGAAGCCCCAGAGAGATGGAGGCCGAGTCTTCTGAATACCTCCAGAAAAAAATAAGGATTTTGGAGGATGAGTACAAGGTTAGCCTTTTTAGAGCCTGCGTTCATTTGATAGTGTTTGAAAAGCCACTTTTATGCCACAAAGAAATCACATTTTGATGGAAATGTGGGCTCCAGTAATGACTTTGTCATTTTTTTAAGCTTTCTTTTGGGAATGAGAGCATAAATGAAATGCGACAACTTCATTATACATATTCATGAAAGCAGCTCTCACTGAAAGCAAAGTGAATAGCTTCTTCACAGAAACCATATTCCTGATTTATTCCACATTATAGTATTATCACATTCTACACTAAAGAGTTCTGCGCAGGAAAAAAACTAATTACCTTGATCTCTCTGTCAGTCATCTCAAAGTGGAGAAATGTAAAGATGGCTGGCCTGGTTGGTATTTTGGCGGCTCGCTGTCAACCCGACTGTGCAGATGTGGGAGGAGAGGCGCAGTGGGAGGTGTGCCAGCTAGGATCAAGTGGTGCAGTGCAGTTTTGGTGTCAGAGATGATCAGGAGTTACCAGTGTGTGAACTATACCACTGCTTTCGGGGGAGCTCACTTTTTCTCAAGAGTTGGGGAGGTCACAGTATGCTGACTACAAAACAGAGATATGAATAATGACGATTTGGCACGCAGACTGAGTGGGACTAAGAAAGTTTTTTTTTTTTTCTGATATTTGAGTTAGTGAGAGGGGTTTATGATGAGACGGGTCGTCCCCTAATCGGAATGTTGTTGGTTCGATCCCCGGCTCCTCCTGCTACATATCGAAGTATTCTTGAGCAAGATAC